GTTTCCCCAGCCACTCTGGGCAGCTCCCAATCAAGTGTTAAAAACAATACATCATTAAGTATTAAAAACTTCCCTGAACAGGGCTGCCTTCAGATGTCTTTTGAAGATAGGATAGCTGCTTATTTCCTTCACATCTGAAAGGAGGGTGTTCCACAGGGTGGGCGCCACTACCAGAAGGCCCTCTGCCTGGTTCCCTGTAAACTCACTTCTCGCAATGAGGGAACTGCCAGAAGGCCCTCAGCGCTGGATCTCAATGTCCGGCCTGAATGATGGGGGTGGAGATGCTCCTTCAGGTATACTGGACCGAGGCCGTTTAGGGCTTTAAAGGTCAGCACCAACACTTTGAATTGTGCTCAGAAACATACTACGGACTACGACTCCCATCATTCCTAGCTAGCAGGGCCAGTGGTCAGGGATGAATCCCGCATGGCAATGCTGTTTAAACAACATTTGATTCAGCTCAGTTGGTTAGAGCATGGTGCTGATAATGCCAAGGCCACAAGTTTGATCCCCGTATGGGACAGCTGGATATTCCTGCATTGCAGGGGGTTGGACTAGATGATCCTTAGGGTCCCTTCCAACTCTACAATTCTATGATTCCAGGATTCAAGATGCTTTGCTCCCTCAGGAAGTTCAATCGTAGCAAAGGACACAAAAAGGATGGAAAAGAGCCCGCACAGTGCAATTGCCCTGTCAAACAGCAGCAAACGCTCATTCAGATCTGTAACTCAGGCCTTCCTGCTTTCCCTGTGTAATTAGGTTGTTTCCATGGTAATGATCTAATTATGGTCTTCTTGGCTTTGTGTAATCACATTTGCTGTGTTTTGGCATTTGATGATTCCGCGCCCCCCCACACCTTTCCTTATTTCTGAACCAAAGCACTTGGCAACTCCGTTCCCTTTCTCTTAAGCTGAATAATGACTTTTCGAGAAGAAAACCTTGGTGACTTTTTCTTCTTTCTTTTGCTTCTGCTAAAAAAAGAAAAGAAGAAAAAGGAGTAAGGATAAGGAATGCGAAGAGGCAGGGAAGCACCATGTTTCCCTCGTCCTGCTAAAAGAGTTTTCAGCAATTGTTCCATGGACTGGAATTGGCACACGCAGCTTGTGAACCACCAAGCCAAGCTCAACCCATTCTCTCTGCATGGTGGTTTTGCTAGGGGCCAGGCTTGCCTGAGATGTTTTGCTGCCTGAGGTGAAAAACAAACCTGCATTTCATGTATAGAAGTCCCCCATCCATCCCTGCACTAGGACTATATGTTGGGCATTAGATCTCTCAGATAGGCTGTGTTGCTGATTTTCCAACCCTGGGGATGGGAAACCCTTCACTTCTGGGCAACCATCAGAGGTTCAGGCACCAGCGGTGGAGCAAGTTAATGTAAATTTTACTACTACCACTACTACTACTACTACTACTACTAATTTTATTATTTGTACCCTACCCATCTGACTGGGTTGCCCCAGCCACTCTGGGCGGCTTCCAGCATATACAACAACATAATAAAACATTAAACATTTAAAACTTTCCCATACAGGGCTGCCTTCAGATGTCTTCTAAAGGTTGTCATCTCATTGATATCTGATGGGAGGGCATTACACAGGGCAGGTGCCACTACCGAGAAGGTCCTCTGCCTGGCTCTCTGTAACCTTACCTCTCACTATGAGGGAACCACCAGAAGGCCCTCAGAGCTGGACCTCAGTGTCTGGGCTGAATGATGGGAGTGAAGCTGCTCCTTCAGGTAGACACCCACTCCATCCAGGCAACCAAAAGGTGATATCATGGTTCAAGGGCAAATTCCAGCCAGGCACAAACATTTATGATGTGGAGCCTGGCCTGTGAGGGGTGTGGCTTGGAAGAGAAGAGTGGCCTTGAGCAAATTCTGAGGGACAGGTAGCAATGGGGGGGGGGAAGGACTACAATTGGACCCTGGGCCTCAGATTCACTGCCGTATTCTTTGTGCCAGATCTCATGAGTCTTCACTCTTCCTTGAGCTGGTCAGTCCAGTGGCGTAGCAAGGTCAGGTGGTACCCAGTGCGGAAAATTTCTTGTCACCCCTCCCCCCACATTGAAATCTAGTTGGACTCCCAAGAGACTGCGATCTACTCAGAGTAGGGGGTTACAGGGTTACAGGGTTGGGGTCCTGAGTTGAGGGAGATTCTGCTTCTCTCCTTCCAGTCACCCTCTGCTTGTTTGCTCACCTGCCTCCTTCCTGTCCTCTCCCTGCCTGCCTGCATGCCTCCTACAGCAGCTCAGGGATACAGGACTGTCAGAATGAAGGGAGAAGGGGGAAAGCCACCAGCAAAGTGGCACAACTTCACCCCTTCCCCGATGGATCACCATAGGTGTAAATCAGGTGCGGGCGGCACGCCGAATGTCACCACCCTTGGTAATGACACCCGGGGCGGCCTGCCCCCACCACTCCCACCTTGCTTCACCCCTGGGTCAACCATTTTGATTGTTCAAAGAAAAGAAGACATGTATTCTATCTAACCTTGACAGTAGGAAACCTGGAAGGAGGGAGGAGATGAAAAACCAACTACCTTTTACCCTGCTAAGCCATGCAGAGTCAGAGTTGTCTTCTGTCAAGGCACCCTAGAAGCGACAGAGTTGTTTGTGGGAAGCTATTTGATAAGAGTTACTATGGCAATAGGAAATCTCCAGGGAGGGGGGAATCAATTAAGTGATATAATGGCAACAAGCCAAGAACAAAAAGCCAAATTCCTCTTTTGGGTTACACAGGAAGTTCTGAACAATAATGAGCCCAGAAAAACAAAGGCTGCTACTTTCCCCGTCTCAGACAGAAATATTATCTCTCAAACAACACAGGCTGCCAGGGATTTAACTTGGGGTCTTCTGCATTCAAAACAGGTGTTCTACCACTGAGAAATGGTCCTTCTCCATTGTGAAAGAGTACTGCTCTTCCAATTTCCTCATTCAGCTTCATGTATGTACTTCTCAAGGAAGAGAAAAAGAGCAACCTTCTCCACTCCATGACTAAGGCGGCAGTGAGAGAGGGCACCTAGAGATTTCATGGATGCCAGGGAAAGACTTCAAGAGTGCCATTGAAAGCAAGTTGGAAAGAATCATCTGCTGCTGTTCATCTTCAGCATCTGATAATCGCAGGGATATTGCCTCTAAATCTGGAAATTGCATTTATTGTCATGGCTACTGATTGATATATCCTCCATGAAATGAAGGCTGCTTGGATCTCAGCCTGTCATTCATTATTGCCGGAAGATAAATGCACCATAAAAGGGTCCACTTCAACAACAGTCAACCAGTTATCAGGTGGCTTTGGAACTACAGCCAAAATTAAGATGACTGTGATTGTGTACAATCCACATTTCCAACAACAGCGTTATGCATACTCAGATGCTTCAGCCAAGCTGGTTCCAGCAAGAAACGTCAGAGAAGGCGCATGGCACAGGTCTCCCATTTACACTGTGTGCTGCTAAGTGGCAGAGGCTGAGCCAAGGGCTTGCGCAAAGATCGCTTTCAATTTGGAGGTGCTCAAATTAAAACTGACACAAGGTAGCATTAGCTTGTGGGCTGAAGATGCCCCTTGTTCATCAGATAACATTAACAGGACAATCGATACAGCCAGATAAGTGTATGCCTTCAGGAATCCAGGAAAACAAAAGGCCTCATCAATGTGGTCTACACAGTTTTCTCTGACAACTCACAAAGGCCTCATGTGATGGAAACCTATGAATGTCCATTGGTCACGATCCAAAACTGTGTGCATGTATTAGGGGGAATATAACTTGAGAGGTTAATGTGCATAACAACCACCCAATGTGCATCTTGACCAAGGAGAATGTGCACTTAATCCAGTCATAAAGAGGGAATTGTGCACATTTTCTGGTCAGTATGCAGTATCACTAGGGACGAGGGTGGTGCTGTGGGTTAAACCACAGAACCTAGGACTTGCCGATCAGAAGGTTGGTGGTTCAAATCCCCGTGATGGGGTGAGCTCCCATTGCTCGGTCCCAGCTCCTGCCAACTTAGCAGTTCGAAAGCACATCAAAGTGCAAGTAGATAAATAGGTACCACTCCGGCGGGAAGGTAAACAGCATTTCCGTGCGCTGCTCTGGTTCGCCAGAAGCAGCTTAGTCATGTTGGCCACATGACCCGGAAGATGTACACCGGCTCCCTCGGTCAATAAAGCGAGATGAGCGCCGCAACCCCAGAGTCGACCACGACTGGATCTAGTGGTCAGGAGTCCCTTTACCTTTACCCTTACCTTTACCTTCATGCAGTATCACTAACAGCTCATGAAGAATGTGCATGTAATGACTGAATTCTGTACATTCTCCGGCCATTAAGCATAATCAACAGGTCTTGAGGAATGTGCATATATCAGCTAGATGTTGCATGTTCTCAGTCAATCATTATGCATAATCCCCAACAGGCCTCAGGAAATTTACACTTCCTTTTGTACATTCTCCAGGCAAATAGGCACATTCTCCAGGCAGTATGCAAAATCTCCAAGAAACATGTCTTCCTTCCATTACATTTTGTTCAGAAGTCCGCAGTCTGCACCCCCACCTCCACATGTGCTGCTTCTAGCCCACTGCCAAATCTTACATGGACGACAGGGTACCTTTCCCACTGACCAGCAGGTCCAAAGAAAGAAATTTGGGGCTCTGGATAAAAATCAACTTTTCCTGTAGTCCAGACCCCTGACTTTTCACCTTTCTTAGCGATTTACCCACCCCTGACTATTGATGTGTCATCATTCTCCAAGTATTTGGATCCTTACGTATCCAAATGGAACAATCTGTACATATATGCAGGCTGGAGGGGAATCTAAAGTTTTGCAGAAGTACATATTTAAAAAACCTTGTAGAAAAATAATAATAATTTATAATAATTTATTACGGCCGTAGGCCCATACAGATAAAAACAAGACATAAATAACAACCTGTGCACATGGGAAAAAACAGCCACTAAAACACTACTATAACAATAAACTACTATAAGATGGAATGGCATACTACGCCTTAATTAGCTTGTGGTGCTCCTTGGCAACGCTTTTGAGTAAGGACAGCGACCAGGAACCTAGCCACTTTCAGGGTCGTATGGGTATCCTTATCCTGCAAGATTTGGGCAAGGTGGAATTTTGGTGGAGTACCCTCTAATTTCTGTATGATTGATCCCAACAAATTTGCCCGTGGCACCTTGAATAAGGGGCAAGTGAACATAATGTGCTGAAGCGACTCCGGCATCTCCTTATCACATTCGCACATGGCGGAGGTTTGGCCCTTTGAGAATCTATGTCTCAGGGCATTGGAGGGAAAAACATTAAACCTCGCTTTGGTGAAGGCCAGCCTATGGGCAACAGTCGAAAGGGAGGAGAGGTATGATGGAACGCAGTAAGTTAAAGTGATACCAATGTTCTGGGGCGAACAAACACCTCCCCCCAGCATATAATTTCGCTGTAAATCGATGTCATCCAGTCTTTGGCGGATCAGTCTTTGAGCAGTGGTTTGATCTAGTTTTAGGGAATCCAAGGGAGAGATTCCATAGCTCAGGAGTTTGGCATGAATTCTACTGGTCCAAAGGCTGGAGAATTCATCTCGCCATAAGCATTGGGCAAGGTAATGGTCTGGTAATCTATGCCACAATGATAACCAATAATTGAAGACTTGCTTCCACAGGCAAGTTTCTAAAGATGCGATCTTCAATTCTAGTCGCATGGCTGCGTTGCTTACGCACAGGGGGAGCATTAGGAGCCGACGTAGGAATTGGTTTTGCAGAGTCTCAAGAGGAGCAAGGTCTGTCATCACGGCCCAGAGCGGGGCAGCATAAGCAAGCACGGGAACCACTTTTGCCTTGAACACCTTTAGGGCCGAGGAACATGCAAAGCTCCATCCGAAAAGAAAAATCGGAGGAGCGCATATATCAGAGTTTTGGCCTTATTAAGTAGGTGTTGAATATGTGCTTTCCACCCCAAATTGTATTGAAAAATAACTCCTAGGTATTGAAATTTTAGGACTTGCTCTATTTTTGCTCCACCAAGCTTCCATTCGTATAATCTCCGACTTCTGGCGAAAATCAGAATCTTAGATTTAGCATGATTGATGGTTAATTGGTTGAGTTGACAATACGTGGCAAAGATCTTCAGAGCTCTGGTTAGTCCAACACGTGTATAAGATAGAATTACCGCGTCGTCCGCATATAAAAGGAGTGGACAGCGGTAATCCGCTAGTCTAGGCGCATGTGTACTTGGAGATGAGTTGACTAAGGGTGCTCGCATGTCGCTGATGAATAGATTGAATAGGCAGGGGGCCAATATACATCCTTGGCGCACTCCCTTGTTTATTGGTATCGAATTTGTGAGGTCGCCCGCAGGGGTAAGTCTCACTCTGGCAAGGGTACCTTCGTGGAGCTGACTTATAAGCCATAAGAGTCTTCTATCGATACCCTGTTTCGCAAGTTTCTCCCAAAGAATATTTCTAGGAACGCTGTCGAAGGCTGCCTTAAGATCTAAGAAGGCAGCGCACAGGTAGCCCCGAGGAGGGGAGGAGTACTTCCGTGCCAGATGGTAAAGAACTATCGCATGATCAGTTGTAGAGCGTTTAATTCTGAACCCTGCTTGTTCGTGGCCAATCTGGTTAGTCTCATCTACCCATCGCAATAGTTTCGTCAGCAAAAAGCTGGCATAAATTTTCCCTATGATCGAAAGGAGGCTGATGTTACGGTAATTTTCCGGCTCCATTGGGGAACCTTTTTTATGAATTGGTACTATAATGGCCTCCTTCCATATTTTGGGGATGATACCAGAAGCGTTGATTGCGTCGAAGGTTTTGGCCAAGATGCCAGCCCACCATTTTGGGTGTAGTTTGATGGCTTCAGCCGGGATCAGGTCGGGCCCTGGGGCTTTGCCCGATTTCAGCTGGGCTATTAGCTTGGCTATTTCGTCAGGATCGGTGGGAGGCCAAATAGGTAGGTGGGAAAACAGATGCATCAGATGGTCGGAGGGAGCATCTGCCTGTGAGAAACATTTCTTCAGGAACAATTCCCATGTCGGTGCAGGGATGACTGCCCTTGGGTATTTCCTCACCCTTCTGTTAATCAGAGACCAGAATTCCCTGGATCTATGTGATTTTGAAGCAGTAATCAAGGCCTGCCAGCGATTATGTTGCCACTCACGTTTGGCAATTTTCTGCGTGCGTTTGTAAACTTGCTTGGCTTGTGCATAACTAGCTGGCAGAGTAGATGCATCAGAGATCTTATATACATTATATATAGCACGAAGGCGCTGTCTTGCTTGTTTGCACTGAGAGTTATACCAGGGGGCACCGTAAGTATACTCGCTTCGATTTAATATTTTGGGTGGTAACCTGAAGAAGGACGTGAGATCAGTCGTATGATGGTGGAAGCGTTTCAACACTATGCTATGCTCGTCTGAGGCAGAGCCTATGTAGGGATAGGGCCCGAGGATTTCTTTTTGAAAGAATTCCTGATACCTTTGAGCCTGGGTCTCCGACCATTTGATTCCTCTTACTTGGAGAGATACGTTGGTTACCATCTGGGTCGCATGTCTGTAGGCCTCCGACTGCCAATTCAGGGAAAGCTTGGCTACAAGGGGAAGATGATCACTAGACTGTACATTCTCGATCTTAAAGGTGGAAATACACTTAAGTAGATCACTGGATACCAGCAGGTAATCGAGGACGCTGTTTGATTTAACACTCAGGTGAGTGAAATCCCCTGGAATATCAGGGAGGCATGTGCCATTTAGGGGGACCAGATTTAAACGGATGGCCATTAAGTAGAGGAATACTCCAGCCTCATTAACTCGTTGGTCTTTAGAAGTTCTCCTCATGATATGTTCCAGATCGTAATTATCAAGGTTTGGGGTAACCCACCATTTGGCTTTGGTCAGCGAGTCCCAATTTGCTGCTGTGCGGGCATTAAAATCGCCACCTATTATGGCCGGGGTGTTAGGAAACTTGACATAGCATGAGAGCAAATGCTCTTCTAGCGAGCCCCATTTAGAGCCCAGTTCAGAGGAAGAACCCCGGGTGGCAAGTAAACATTTGTAACTAGAAGTGAGATCTTTTCCCCGCAATCAGCCCGGTAAGGGCGTAAGGAGGCAAGGCCTGTACTAGAGTAAATTTAGAATGTAAGTTGAGGGAGATGCCTATTATTAGGCCCCCTTTAGGACGGCCTCCTTTCAGGGAGGGGCAGGCAGGGAGTTATTGTAGAAAAAAAATATAAGGGGGGCGGAGAGACCCCGAAACAGCCTGATGAGAGCTAAGCCTGATCAGCGGCCATGCTGGCTGACTGATGGAGAGCATGGATAGTGCTTTTTTCCTAGAAAAATAGGTGTCGGTACTCACCACGGAGTTGTTATAGTAAGTGCCACACTTTCTAACAACAAAAAAAGAGGGGTGCTGCTACTGCGTACCCTTGAGTACCCCTAGGGAGAAAAAAAACACTGGGCATGTGAGAGTACAGAAAACAAAGGGGAAGGTCAAAGCGGCGAGACTTTTATATGCACCAAGATGGAAAGATTCATCATTACCTATGATGAAGGAATGGTTTTTAAACTTACAGTGGTACCTTGGTTCTCAGACATCTTGATACTCAAACAACTTGGAACCCAACACTGCAAACCTGGTAGTGTCCCGGTTTGTGAACTTTTTTTGGAAGCCGAATGTGCTCTATTTTAAGTGTTACGCTTCTGATTTGAGTGACACACTTCCGTTTTGGGTGACACACTTCCATTTTGAGTGTTACTGCTGAGGTCTGTCTGTTTTTGCTACTTATTTTGTGTTTTTATTTTTGCGGCTTTTTTGTTTTGTTTTTGTGACTGTGTGGAACCCAGTTCAGCTACTGATTGATTGTAAGACTGCAGTACATTGTTTATTGCTTTCATTTTATGGATCAATGGTCTCATTAGATAGTAAAATTCATGTTAAATTGCTGTTTTGGGGTGTTTTTTTTAAAAAAAGTCTGGAATGGATTAATCCATTTTGCAATACTTTCTATGGGAAAGCACGCCTTGGTTTTAGAACGCTTTGGTTTTGGAACAGACTTCCAGAACGGATTAAGTTAGAGAAGCAAGGCACCACTGTACTGGACTTAGCCAAGATGGCAAAGTTGACATATCTAATCAGAGAAAAATCATTGTTGATATTACTAAAGATTGGAAACCCCTTATAGGCTTTCTGCATAACAAAAGAAAATGAACTTAAGATATCTGGGTTTGAGGACTGCAGAAAATATTGGTTTATAGAAAGTGGAGTTGTTGAATGGTATCGTGGAGTGGATGTTTTGAATACTCTTGACAGACAAAGAATCTGTTCTCTTTTTTTCTTTTTTCTTCCTTTGTCTTTTCTTTTTTCTTTTCCTTCCTTTGGTTTGTGGTTTTATCTCTGATGTAAAAAAATGGATATTTGATACTAACCTTTGTACATTTTCTTTCAAACCTTAATAAAAAAATTATTGGAAGAAAAAGAAAGCAGTGAGGAAGGTGAATGGAGTATTCTAGGGGAGGTTATGGCTGGATGGAAAGTTGAAACGAAGCACTCCGCACCGGAACATTCTGCCTTCAGGTGCCCCTTGCAGCTGTCCTTTTCCTGAGGCAGCATATGTCGAAGAATCTCTGGGGAAATGGACTTCATACTAGAAGTAACCCAAACATGAATAATAATCCACAGACTTCTGTGGCCGTGAGGGTCATCATGTCTCCTGTATGTCAGGTCTGGAAAAGACTGTCACCAGAAACGAACTGTTGGGAAATCCTTTGGTGTGTCTGTGTGCTTAAAGTGCTGAGGCAGCGGATATCATTATCACTAATGCCTTACCATCAGCCCAAGACTGGAAGTGAGATCAATTTCATAATAAATCAATCCCAATTTCCAATGTGCAACAGCTTTATCTGCCGGGGCTGACTTGCCAAGGACAGTGAGATGCCAAGGTCAAATCGAAAAAGACAGATCACATTTTCAGCTTTCTCTTAAAACATTTCCTTAGCTATCCTGAGGCACAGACCCCAGCGGACACTTCACAGTTTATTTACCCCGTCTGTAGACGTTCTCCTGTGGGAGGTTTTTATCTGTCAGTGGGGTCTGCCACAGCAGGAAGAACCTATTTAGCACTCTGCATGCATGGACTGAAGCAATTGTTTAACTTGGGTCAAGAGTTTGCCCTGTGCAATCCAGCCTTTCCCAACCTGGTGCCCTTGGAATGTTATTGGGCTCTTGCTTCCATCAACCGAGGCCACACAGCCACTTCTCAGGAATGATGGGAATTGTAGTCTGAAACATCTGGAGCAGCATGGCCCAACATGTGGTCCGGACGCCACATGTTGTCCTTCCCAAAACCTAGTGCCTTACTTGTCTGGCTTTAGGAAGGTAGCATGAGGGCTGGGGCCACCCCCTCAAATTTTGGCCTTGCAGTCCCCAACTGAACTACCCCACATGTGGCAACACATTTTGTGGCTCACAGGTTCTGTGTTGAAGTACTCTTAGAATGAAAAGTTCGACTGCCCTGATTTGGAGGAAGCAGTGTGGTGAGGAAGCCTGAGGAAATGATCTAGTATAGAAATAAAGAACATACCCTCCAACATTTCTCTGATGAAAGTAGGGACGTCCTACAGTGGTACCTCGGGTTACATACGCTTCAGGTTACATAAGCTTCAGGTTACAGACTCTGCTAACCCAGAAATAGTACCTCGGGTTAAGAACTTTGCTTCAGGATGAGAACAGAAATCGTGTGGCGGTGGTGCAGCCGCAGCGGGAGGCCCCATTAGCTAAAGTGGTGCTTCAGGTTAAGAATAGTTTCAGGTTAAGAATGGACCTCCGGAACGAATTAAGTACTTAACCCAAGGTACCACTGTATTCCATAATGACAATTTTGCTATTTATACCCCACACATCTTACTGTTTTCGGAGAGCCAGCGTAGTGTAGTGGTTAAGAGCGGTGGACTCATAATCTGGTGAACCGGGTTAACTTCCCTGCGCCTCCACATGCAGCTGCTGGGATGACTATTAGTATACTAATACTAATAGTACTAATAATAATTCATTTTATATCCCATCCTTACTCCTGAAGGAGTGCAGGGTAGCAAACGCGTCAATAATAAAACATTTTGCAAAAACATTTTAAAACAGTCTAACAACAGTCCAAAAAACAGTTATCTCGGCTGTGAATCCTGCAGGCCTTTTCCCACCCACCTAGGAGGGAAGGGCCTGACTGACTCCAGCTACAAAAGCTGAGGCTGTAGAAGAGGACAGAGACCATCTTGGCTGCTGTTGATGCAGACCCAGGTCATGTAGCCTGAGTTTCCCAAACCACCTCCTGCCTGAACCACCATTGGCAGGATTGCAAGCAAAGGTAGTAGGTACCGTCTGTGCTTATGATATGTGTGTGTGTGTATTCTCCTCTTGCTAATTATTCTGTATGAAATGTGCATTTTATATTTGACTTCCCTTAATAATGTTTTCTTTTGAAATATTTAATGTGACTTTTTTTGGTTAAGTTTGCTATGTTAAATGCGCATTCTGTAGCTGACCTACATCCTTTGTAATATTTCATTTTGAAATCTTTAAGATAACATTTTAGTTGCCTGTTAATTAGCTGGCTTTGAATATATGTGTTATATTTGACTTTCTTCTGTCATGTTTTTCTTCTGGATTGCTTTATGGTTTAATGCAGGTTGCAAATAGCTTTGAGATTTTCCCCATCCTAAAAATATAAAGCCTGTGATTTCCCCCCCCCCTAAAAAAACCAACGTTTCGGGGTACTCTCATTTTCCTACTTATATTGAAATACTGCCCCTCAATGAAGCCAAACTCAGATTCACAAAACTTTTAGGGGGTATATGTATCCCTGAGTACCCCCAGAAAAAAACCCCACTGTTATAAAGCGGTATAGAAATGAAAAGAAAATGAATAATATGGAACTACAAACTTCTGATGCTTGTAGACTGCCAACCCAGGTCAACCCAGGTAGGACACGGAATCCTCCTGGACAGGAAGAAGTATCAAAGACTTCCTGTTCTGGTTGAGCCTCACAGTCTTCCTCAGCTCTATGTAATCTTAGAAGATGAGCAATTAAATAGGCCTGAGATGGTATGTTTGGTGTTGGCATCATCAGAGATTTGCAACCTCTTCTGGACAATGACAGTCCTCTTTCTCAAGCTCTAGGAGGAAGACCTTTCATTGCCTACAGACAGCCACCCAATCTTAAACGACTCCTCACCCACAATAATACAGCAACCAGACTTAACATGGACACTGGGACCAGAGCCTGCAATAAACCCAGATGCCAACTTTGCTTCCACATACACCCAGACAACACCATCACTGGACCCAACAACATCAAACATACCATCTCAGGCCTATTTAATTGCTCATTTCCTCAGCTCTGGTATCCTTCATTATTTGTTGGTCCTGTCTCCTGGTTTGACCTCCAGCCCTGTCTTCTGCTTCATTGCTCCTGGGTACCAGCTGGATTCCCAGCTCAGCTCATACTGTTACCCAGGGCCCATCTCAGCTACACAAGGCAACCTTAGAAATAAAGATAAAGGCATTCTCTTCATCAAAGAACCTCTTCCGAGAGCTCATAACCTGATTCACCTGCAGGGATTGGTCCTGACTCATGGAAATGCTTGGTAGATGAATGCCGAATACAAAAACAAAAGAGCATAAAATCATCTCCTGCTGCTTTGGAAAGTTCTGCCTGTCAGTTAGAATTCTTGCCACCAGTTTGGTGCCTTTAAAAATAAAACAGAGTCGCTAACAATATCTCCTCCAGTTGCTTTTGATGTATTTAAAAGGTGGGAAAAGACACATTAAAAAAACACAACTGCTCTGGTAAATAACAAGGAAAAGGTCCACAGGCTTTATTTTTGCTATAAAAAGGGTAGACAGGAGAGGCAAAGTAACCTCTTTGCATTGATTTTTGGTGGTGGTGAAGGAAAATGAACTGCAGGAGGGGGAGAAATTATCCTTAATGGATGTCTGGTTTGTTTGCTTGCTAGGAAAGACAAAACCCTTGCATAGTAGCAATCATTTATTTGGACTTGCTGAGACAGCATGTCTGAGAGAGCTAGTGTGGTTTAGTGGTTAGAGTGTTGGACTTGGACCCGGGAGACCAGGGTTCCATTGTCCACTCTGCCATGAAGCTCCCTCTTTGGGTGATCTTGGGCTACTCAAAATTATAAATAATTTTATAAGTTGTGTGTCCTTGTTTCTCAGTATGATCCTTTTGTATGTTTTGTGGTATTTTATACATTGTGATTTTGATGTGATTTTTATTGGTTATAGATTAGTCATTCTCTACATATGAGTAATTAGTAATACTTTATTGTGATAAGTGTAAAGTGTTTAATTATTATTTCTTATGTTTAATTTTAGTGTTTACCATTAGATTTTAATGAATTATTTAATATTGCTTTATTTTGTATAAACTGATTATTTTAAAGCTATTGTGACTTTTTGTATTGGATCAGATTGTTACTATTAATGTTTGGTGTTTTATTATGTTTTTATATGTGTTGGAAGCTGCCCAGAGTGGCTGGGGCAATCTAACCAGATGGGTGAAGTATTATTATTATTATTATTATTATTATTATTATTATTAATTATTAACTGAATTCAGCCCTCTAAGTTTCTGTCTTACCCTCAAGACTCACCACAAACCTCTTGCTCTCCTGAATGGAAGATAGCGAGGGGGTGAGGGTAGAAACCACCCTACTGTATAAAAGGTATAAAGGTGAAATTTAAACTTGTGGATCTGCCCACTTTGCTTCTGGCTTCAGTCATCGCTGTGTGTGGCCCCCAGGATGTTGCCCAGAAAGGAATATGTCCCTAGAATTTGGTTACAACAGCTGATGCAGCCCAGACGAGCAGAAGGGAGGGATGGACAGATCAGTCTAGTTGAGAAGAACTAAGGGTCATCTAAGTCCAACTCCCTGCAAGGCAGGAATCTCTTGTTCAACGTGGCGCTCAAACCCATGATCCTGAGATCAAGATAGTCTCATGCTCTACCGACTGAGCCATCCCAGTGGTCCTCCTGTCCTTCTTTCCACACCCCACAAAAAAGAAAGTAAAATTTGTATTTACATTGTGGTCAATCTCTGAGCCCACCTCACCAAAACCCATCATTCTGGCATGAGCTCCACCCTCTCTCCCTTGCACCACCTGCGTCAAAGGACTTAGTGTGACGAACAGGTGAGTCTGCCCCATAAAGAGTCCTCTGTATGTGGATGCTCATCCCCTCTAAGGATGTAGGAAGTTCTTGAGGTCCTAGACAGGACTTCATCACACTGACCTTGGTTGTACCCATAACATTGGTGGGCTTTACCGTTCTTTACTTACCAGACAATATCAATAGACCAATCCACTGCCTTGACGATTATATGGTTTGCTGTGTCCAGCGCAGGCTTGGCTTAGAGGTAAGCCCCTCTCTTGCATTAGGCTTCGTCTTAGCATAACCGCTTGGATCTGGGCCACCACCATCCATCACTGGGTTGCTGACACCCTCCCACCAATGTGTCCTTAGTTGTACTATAAGCACCAGCATTGCCTTGGATGCTGTGTGCGTTTTTTGCATTCAAGATTCCCCATCTCCCTTGCCATTAGTTCACAACAGTGGAAGTTATTTGCATAAAACACATTGTTAGACACGGGTGGGATGACAGATCTGCCTTCTCATGCGTTCAGCAAACAGACTGTTGTTTCTGGTAACTGCATTGTAAGCCGCATGAGAATGTGGGCTGGGAGCACAAAACTCTCCAGGGGGGCTGGTTCTGGAGGAGCCGGCTTCCTTTTGAAATGAAGAGATGACTCATTTTGCTGTTTGAATGGGAGGCAGTGCATTTCCCTTCATAGGGACCCGTTCTCTATTGATGTAAATCCAGGATCAAATCGGGGAGCTTGCTGCAGCCTCCACCAGCTCCCAAAACCCCTTTCTGAGCTGCGTGCGTGTTAAAGGTCACAGAGGCTTATCCAAAATCGCATTTGAAAACACAACAGGTTGGCTCGGAGCACGTGTCTGCCTGTTCCGTTTGTAACATGTCCAACAGCTTCATTTCTGCTTGTGTTTGCAGGCGTGTGTTATTTCAATGTCTCCTTATCACTTCTATCAATCACTGCAGCCGGGGTCTGGAAAACAAGGCTGGCCCAGTGATGAGAAACAGGCAGGTTTTGATTGGACTCTCATGCAGCATTCCGGAGAATTGGCCGGACCTCAGAAAGGAGACTGTTTAACCCTTTCTTTTCCTCCAAAGATGCATCAGGAACATGACCGTTTCCCTCCAAAGGGAGTCATAGTTCATGGGGAAGAAAGGCACCATTTGCTTTGAGTTTGTGCACATAGAAGAAGAGGAGTTTGGACTTGATACCCCACCTTTGGACATGATATCCCACCTTTGGACTTGATATCCCACCTTTCACTACCCTTAAGGAGTCTCAAAGCGGCTCATAATCTCATTTCCCTTCCTCCCCCACAACAAACACTCTGTGAGGTGAGTGAGGCTGAGAGACTTCAGAGAAGTGTGACTAGCCCAAGGTCACCCAGCAGCTGCATTTGGAGGAGTGGGGAAGCGAACCCAGTTCACCAGATTACGAGTCCACCACTCAACCACTACACCACACTGGCTCTCTAGAACAGGGTCTTGAGAATACACATGCTGAGAATAGGGTCAGTAGTGCATTAGTGGGGGATTTTCCCCCTTGATTTCCCCTGGGATGCTTCCCTAGTGCGACTACATTATTGATGTCTGGAGGGGCTACAGCACAACAAAAGTAGTACCCAAAATAGAACATTTGTGGTAGGAAAAGCTGTGGAATTTCAGTAGGTTATGTACTAATGAGAAATGGAGCAGTATGACTACCTCCAGACCTTTGCAGATGCAAATACTATTGAAAGTGGGATCATGTATGACCAACCTGATAGAATCATGAGCACAAGTGATCAGAAATGCACAATCGAAAAGGACACCTGGAGGAGCTTCGTTGGGGCATAATTTAGAAGGAATAAAATGTTCCGTTTGTTGCTGCTGCTATTAAACAGCTGGGAGTCAAGATCCCTGCTGATCAGCTGCAAATCATTCCAAGATTTGCCAGTGGATCTTGATCCAGCGTTTGCAGTACAGAGCAGTCCCTCTCTCTGTGTACCAAGTGGATTATGTGATTTGCAGGCAGAAGAGATTAGAAAAAAAGAAGTATGGAACAGTATAACTCCAGTTAGCAGCACAATCATTATAAAATTGAAGGCCAGTCTGCCTTCCGGACGTGAGGAGGTTTTCCATCTCTACTTATGACCGGTAATCTTCCAGAAATGAAGGGAAGAAGCCAGACTCTGTCAACATTTCCTTTAGAGGCTGAAAGAATTAGCGTTCCCTAATGGAAATGCAACAGTTCACGACGTTATATGTGAACATTGAAGAATGCCTGACATTCTGAATAGGGAGAGAATGATTAAATGGAGCCAAGCACAGCTTGGAAAAGAATTCTCTCGCATTCCTTCAGAGTAGGCAATGTAGTGCCCACAGGCTGCAACCAGGCACTTCTGGGATACAGGCCCTTCCTTGAATGCTGGATATGTTTGTGATAATGTGTTGTCATTTTCATGTGAGAACACACACACACACACACACAGACACAAATATTTGTATAATTTTTAATTGCATTTTTATAACACCTAATCACCAAATCATCATCATAATTGACATAACCAAGTTAAAAGAAATACCATATACATACCCTCCAACGTTTCTCCAATGAAAATAGGGACATCCTATTCCATAATAATAATAATAATGATAGTGATAATAATAATAACACTTTATTATTTATATGCTAGCCATTAAACATTTAAAAATCCTCCCTATATGGGCTGCCTCCAAATGTCTTCTAAAGGTTTTATAGTTATTTATCTCCTTGGCTCAGAAGTCGCATAACTCCATACCCTCCAACATTTCTCTGGTGAAAATAGGGACATCCTAAGGAAAAGCGGGATATTCCGGGATCAAATAAGAAACCGGGACAGCTTCTGTAAATCCGGGACTGTCCCTGGAAAATAGGGACACTTGGAGGGTCTGCATATACAGTTGCAATCGAAATTATTCAATCCCCATTGGAAATCGAGTTTAGAGCTTTACAGACGTCCAGCTGTTTGCAATGAGCAAATCAAACAAAAGCAATTGAAATAGCTCAACACAATGGATGCTGGTTTTCCTAAATTCAGCTGAAAGTGCAACTAATACTGGCTTCAGTGTGATTTTGTGCTCCTTTGTTCCCATCTGCATCTGACAGTGTTTCTGGAAAACTGTCCACTAAGTTCAGGCCATTCACAAAACCCAGTCTCTTCTCATGAAGTCCACCTTCAAGCCCTGCAGTCCCTCACAATACCTTCCGCATTCTTAAAAGCTGTTGCTAATCTCCAGTTCCATGAAGAACATTGTTGCTGCTGTCTTTACTAGGACTGGTAAAATCCTAGATAATGAACCAAATTGGGCTAATTTGGGTTGACCTGGAATTCAGTCTAATTGTCTTGAGGCGCTACAGGATCATCCCAGTTCAGGTCTACTTGGAATAGTCCAGGGGTCAAAATGAGGCAGTCTGGCGGCGAGGAAAACAGGAGGGTGGCAGAGGCAGGCAGGCAGGCTGTGTGTGTCTTCTTCTCACCTCGCTTCCACATGTTTCATCAGGGTTTGAAACTGAGATTAAACACATGAACCCCCAATTGGGTGTGGTCAACCTTGGATTGCCCATGTCAGGTGGGGGCCACCCTGAAGTGCTGCATCAGGCCCTGCATTGGATCGGGAGGCTCGTGCTCAGCCCTAGTATTTAACCACTTCTCCAACCACGTCAGTTCTTGTAGGATGACACCGTTTTTTTGATCTCCCATCAGTCACCTGCATCTCCATTTGGTGGATTTGTATAAATAGAAAACTAATGCAATTTTCTACCATGCAAGCAAAGTCGCAGCATCTCCCTCTCCCAGCGCTTCGCATCTGAACGCTGCCAGTCCTCTCCCTGCTTTTTAATATATGCCAAATGTAAAAGGATCTCCAGCCATCTCAGTGGAAGTCAAATTGAAAGGGAACAGAATGGAAGCAGGAACAAAGGAGGTGGGGGAGAAAATCCTCTATTCTTTTGATTGCTCTCCTTTTTGTTGTTGCATGAGAGATAAAAAGGTCTGGGGAAGGATTTGTCTGCCTCAAATAATAACCTTTTCAGCCGACTTGCATCACCTTTCAAGGATGATTTTTTTGCTTAAAAAAGTAGCCCACCTCCAAAGTGTGCTTTCCTCCTTAGAAGCATTCTTCTTCTTTTTGTGCTGGCCATAATACGGTTTCAAATCACTTGACTGATCATCTAACAAAAGGTTCCATGAAAGAGTTTAAACCTCCCTTGGACTGACAGGAAGGGCCATAGCTTCGTGGTTGAGCATCTGCTCTGCATATACATAGGTAGGTCTCACATCAAGTCACCGGCGTTACCATGTAGGGTTGAGAATATCCGCAGTCAGGAACCTTGGAAGCTTGCTGCCAACCTGAGTTGGCAATACGGAGTCTGATAGACCAATGGTTTGGCTTACTTTAAGGCAACTTCCCATGTACCTACTGTGCTGGTCCGGGGGGGGGGGTTACCGTGCGGCGTGGTCCGTGTACGGTCCAAGGCTGAAGCGGGGTCCAAGGCAGGGTGTCTGGTGTGGTCAGGAACTCTGGCAGAAAGCAAGACAGGGTGCCGGCAGGAACAGGTAACCAACAATGTTGCTCCCGCAACCTGGGACTGGGTGGGCTGGCCTTTATCTCCTCTCAGGCATAGGGCAACCCCGGTCCACAGGTGACTCGCCTCTCCTGGCCTGGAGGCGAGCACTCCTCCTGCGCGAACTTAGTTCCCTCTGCCTCTCTGCCCTGAGCCTCTGCAGCTTAGGAGAGGCTGGAGTGTTACTGGACCCAGAGGCAACCTCACCTTCCCCTGACAGGGCTGGGAGAGGAGCACCTGCAGGCAATGGGTCCTCGATAACCTCCGGAGCCAGAGCGGATTCAAC